GGGAGTGCTTCTAGTGTCCTGGCCCCACTGCTGGACCTCCTGATGGCACCTGGTATTTCTGGCCACTGTGTGACACAGAGTGTTGGACTGGATGGGCCATTGGCCTGATCCAACATTGGCTTCTCTTATGTTCTTATATTCTTATAGGAGCTCTCGGTCTGGGGCAAGGGATGCTCTGTATTCTTGGTGCTTGGGGGGGGGGTCAACAGTGGGAGGGCTTCTAGTGTCCTGGCCCCACTGCTGGACCTCCTGATGGCACCTGGTATTTCTGGCCACTGTGTGACACAGAGTGTTGGACTGGATGGGCCATTGGCCTGATCCAACATTGGCTTCTCTTATGTTCTTATGTTCTTAACCGCAAGAGCAGTGAAAGTCATGGCAGTGGCAGCATGGGAGGCCATGATGACAAGGTGAAACATAAGTGAGAACTGAGTGACTTAGCATGTGTAATAAGATAAGGACCTGATATCTCTGTTAAGTCCTTGGGTTCCATTGTCCGGAGTGTTATAATAAACTTGTAATTCAGCAATCTCCCATTCCAGTCTGTTTCATGGAGAGAGGAAAGCATGGTTTAAATAGCCTCCTTTAGCTCCTTGCAGCTTTTCATGGGGAGCAGAAAGCAGGGTTTAAATACATCTGTTTTCTGCTCCAGAGTGTTGGACTGGATGGGCCATTGGCCTGATCCAACATTGGCTTCTCTTATGTTCTTATAGGAGCTCTCGGTCTGGGGCAAGGGATGCTTTGTATTCTTGGTGCTTGGGGGGGGGGGCAACAGTGGGAGGGCTTCTAGTGTCCTGGCCCCACTGCTGGACCTCCTGATGGCACCTGGTATTTTTGGCCACTGTGTGACACAGAGTGTTGGACTGGATGGGCCACTGGCCTGATCCAACATTGGCTTCTCTTTTACGTTCTTAAGAGCAGAGGTCCATCAGTAGCTGTTAGCCACAAGGTAAAGGTAGGAACTCTCACTCTGGGGCAAGTGATGTTCTGTATCCTTGGTGCTTGGGGGGGGCAACAGTGGGAGGGCTTCTGGAGTTCTGGCCCCACTGATGGACTTCCTGATGGCCCCTGGTATTTCTGGCCACTGTGTGACACAGAGTGTTGGTCTGGATGGACCATTGGCCTGATCCAACATTGGCTTCTCTTCTGTTCTTATAGGAACTCTCAGGCCGGGGCGAGTGATGCTCTGTATCCTTGGTGCTTGGGGGGGGGCAGTGGGAGGCCTTCTAGTGTTCTGGCCCCACTGCTGGACCTCCTGATGGCCCTGGTCTTTCTGGCCACTGTGTGACACAGAGTGTTGGACTGGATGGGCCACTGGCCTGATCCAACATGGGCTTCTTTCTTATGCTCTTCAAAGGACATCAAAATAAGTTAACAGGTCAGTCCTTCAGTGATAGCCATTTATGACAGTACCTGTTCATCCAGGTAATTCCTCTTTGCGTACCCGTTCTCTTTTTTTGTACAACAGAACTGGCACCATTCTGACCCACCCGACATAAGATAGCGAAATGTTTAGATGAAGCTTTATAAGAACAGGTTCCTGTCTTGTTTCCCCCCCCCCCCCCATTTTTTTAAACTCTAAGAAATATGCACCAAGTTTGTAAAACCTTTGTCCATGTTCCTGTTCCAGCTCAGGGCCATGGCGCCAAAGGGGACAACGTGTATGAATTTCAAATTGAGTTCCTGGAACCCGTGAAACCGCAGGTATGGGTCTTGGCTTCTTGCTGTACCTCGTTTGTCAAAGTCGTGGTTCTGTGGCTGTGGGGGGATTATTGGGGTCCAGACCCCTTCCAGGGACCCCCGACCCCATTAGGGTTCTTTTTTTTTATAGGTGGGTGGTGTCTGGCTGGGGAACTCAGGCCTCCAGAGGGAGAGAAACACAGAGAGAACAGTTCCCTCAAGCGAAAAGTATTTATTAACTCTAGAACCATACACAAGTAAAACTCAATAGCATATGTTTGGTGTCGTGGTGAAGTGCGCAGACTCTAATCTGGGAGGACCGGGTTTGATTCCCCACTCCTCCACCCGCAGCTGCTGGATGACCTTGGGCAAGCCATAGTTCTGATGAGCTGTTCTTGAAAAAAGAGCAGTTTCTGTCAGAGCTCTCTCAGCCCCACCTACCTCACAGGGTGCCTGTTGTAGGGAGGGGAAGGGGAAGGAGATGGTAAGCCGCTCTGAGTCTCCTTCGGTTAGTGAAGGGCGGGGTATAAATCCAATCTCTTCTCTCTTCTTCTATGTGCAATATCAGTACCCAGTTGCATATAGAAAAGTCCCAGTACCTGATCTAGTGTACTCTTCTGAAAGAACAAGGAATCCCCGGACTGTGGACCAAGACCCCACTCAAGCCTCGGTGGGGTGTTGGCCAAACCGCCCCGAACAAAGCCCAAAGCCTCCTTTTAAAACTCCTTTCAGCCGATAGGAATCAAGGGAGGAGTTAATTAAAACAAACCAAACTTGCCAAATACCAGCCCATCTTAAGTTGCTAGCAATGTTCCCTCTAAGCTGAGTTTGAGTGAACTAGCTCACAGTTTCTTAGCCTCCAGCTCACACATTTTTGTCTCAGCTCAGGAAGGATTGCTCCAGAGCAAACTGATTTAATTAATGCAGCAGCCAAATCGCTCGCTCACATCTTTAATGCCAGCAGCTCACAAAGTAGAATTTTTGCTCACAAGACTCCACAGCTTAGAGGGGGCATTGGTTGCTAGTACGAACTTCCACCTAGGTGTGTTTTATTAACTGCGATGTCAAAAAAAGACCTAGACTGACACGTTTCGGCTTTGAAGGCCCTGGAATGTGAATTCAGGCAAAGGGTACGTATACAGGGCAAGGCTTTGGTTTTTACGCCTAGTCTGCCAGCGAAAGCGCAAAGGCTTATGGGACTTCAGAACCACAAAACCAAAGTCAGTGATAGCAAAAGCTGCACAGCGTAGAGGAACAGAAAGGCCCCCCCATTTAAGGATGCGCATTTCCCATCTGTTTTTGAGAATGGATTCGAGATGCAAGTCCATTTTTTACTTGTGGAATGTGTGGCGTCTGAGCCTGCGCGGGTGTGTGCGCATACAAGCACCAGCTGTGACACTTGTGTGAGTGGAAACCACAGTGCTGTGCGGGCCAGGGGACCCTCTCTCCTGTACAAGAATGAAGATGTCCTTGTTCTGTTCCTGGCAACAGAGCCCAGCGCTTGGCTACCTAGGGCTGCCCTGTCATGTTTCAGAGGTTCGTAAATTATCCGTTGGTTGTCCAGGTTCCCAAGTGATAGATGATGCACTTATCACAGGGAATCCTCTCCCCTGACTTCCCTTCAAGGAAGTTCTCTCAGTCTTCCAGGAAAAGAAAGTTCAAGAACGCCGTTGCCTTGGGTTCAATTCTGTGGAGGAGGCCACGGCGTCCCCTGGTCCTTTTCAGGATTCTAGCGAGAGCAAGACCAACAACACGCACCCCAGGTTAGAGGTACACATCAAACACTTCTATTATGCACAGTGGTGCACTCTACTAGCAACCAGTGTTCCCTTTAAGCTGAGTTAATGTGAGCTAGCTCACAGTTTTTTAGCCTCTGGCTCACACGTTTTTGTCTCAGCTCAGGAAGGGATGGCTCCAGAGCCAACTGATTTATGCAGCAGCCAAATTACTAGCTCACAACTTTCATGCCGGCAGCTCACAAAGTAGATTTTTTTGCTCACAAGACTCCATTGCTAGCAACTGGAAGCGACCGTTTAAAAGCAAACAAAAGCCATCCTTTCCCCACACCCGGAGGAACGAAGAATAACCAGCGCGGTGTAGCGCTTTGAGCGTCAAGACTGGGGTCTTGGAGGCCGTGTTTCGAATCCCTTTTTCAAAATGTAATTTAGGTTTTGGTATCATTTGGCGAAGCAAATACAGAAGAAGGGGGGGAAAAACCATTGGGTTGTGTAACACATTTCATATCCCGACTAGAAATTCTGGTTGGTCGAGTACATCTGAGCATCGAAGCCCAACGGGAGCATGTAGGCCGTGGCGTTAAGCCAACAGAGTGAGTGGCTCTCCACTGACGCGGAGGTAAATCCCCCGTTTGGGCGCCTCTTCGAGAGTCAGTTTGGTGTAGTGGTTAAGTGTGCAGACTCTAATCTGGGAGAACCGGGTTTGATTCCCCACTCCTCCACTCGCAGCTGCTGGATGACCTTGGGCAAGCCCTAGTTCTGTCAGAGCTGTCCTTGAAACAGCAGTTTCTGTCAGAGCTCTCTCAGCCCCACCTACCTCACAGAGTGTCTGTTGTGGGGAGGGAAAAGGAAAGGAGTTTGTAAGCCACTCTGAGACACCTTTGGGTAGTGAAGAGCGGGGTATAAATCCAATCTCCTCTTCCTCCTCCTCCTTCCTCCTCCTCCTCCTTCTTCCTCTTCCTCCTCCTCCTTCCTCCTCTTCTTCTTCTTCCTCCTTCCTCCTCTTCTTCTTCTTCCTCCTCCTCCTTTCTCCTCCTCTTCTTCTTCTTCCTCCTCCTTCTTCCTCTTCCTCTTCCTCCTCCTCTTCTTTCTCTTCCTCCTCCTCTTCCTCCTTCCTCTACTTCCTCCTCCTCCTTCTTCCTCCTCCTCTTCTTCCTCCTCCTCCTCACTAGTTCGAAAGAGCAACCACCTGAATCCCAGCTCAGTGGCTTCCCTTTTCAGCAGCGTCTGCCTGTCCACCCCCCCCCCCCCCCCCATGCTTGGTTGGCTCCCGTACGCGGTGCCGCCTGCGCATACCTTGCAGGCAGTGTTCCCTCTAAGCTGAGTTAGTGTGAGCCAGCTCACAGTTTTTTTAGCCTGCGGCTCGCACATTTTTGTCTTAGCTCAGGAAGGGATGGCTCCGGCCCCCAAGCAAGGATATCAGTTGAGGGAAAGAAGAGGCAAATGAGATGCCAATTTTCTCTGAAGTTTAGTTTTTGGCTTCTTAATATTTAATTGTTCTTTTGTATTGCTCTTTACTAAGTCAGAATACCTGGACTTGAATTATTTAAGCGACTTTAACGGTCCCCTTCAATGTAACAAATTACTTTTTTTTTTACTTAAAGCTTTTTTATTGTAATCAGTATATGACCATCACCTCTTGGGTTTTTAGTGGTTTATCTTTACTTTTTCCTGTAGTTTATAGTTTCCCTTTCCTTATTGTCTTGTAGTTTTGGAAAATAAAAGAGATTTGCAAAAAAAAAGAAAGAAAAAAAAAGGAAGGATGGCTCCAGAGCAAACTAACTTATGCAGCAGCCAAATCGCTCGCTCACAACTTTCATGCCAGTAGCTCACAAAGTAGAGTTTTTGCTCGCAAGACTCCACTGCTTAGAGGGAGCATTGCTTGCAGGTGGGGTGAAACGCCTGCCTGCGGGGATCAGCAACATCAGATATCCTCTCGAAGGCTGAACAGTTCCGGTTTCCGCCTCCGCTCCGTTACAGCCGCAGAAGTCAAAGCCTGACGGCGGAATCCAATTACGGCCCCTAGAAACTGGAGACTTGACATTTCAGAAATCAAGAGGCTGTGAATTTAATGTTGATTGAAAGAGCCAGATTTTATTGATTTACTTAAAATGTATATTACCCACCTTCCTCCCTGGCAGAACTCAAGGTGGCATACAGTATAAATAAAACATTGTAAAAACACAATACAAGCAACAATGATTAAAAACCCATAAAAGTCATAATTTAAAAACTCTGGTTAGGACTGCCAATATGAAAGAAGTAATTAGCCGTTGTAGGTTTTCCGGGTTGTATGGCCGTGATCTTGGCATTGTAGGACCTACAATGCCAAGACCACGGCCATACAACCCGGACAATCTACAACGGCTATTGAACTCCGGCCATAAAAGCCTTCGACAACATAGTAAGAAGTAAATCAGTCAAATGGAGTCCAAAATTAAACTGTTCAACTGCCTCTTGAAAACTGACAGTCAGGGGGCCAGGCACCCCTCCCTGGGACAGTATTCCATATTGTGGGGCTGCCACCGAGAAGTCTCTGTCTCATGTGCCCAGTTTGTCCATAAGCATGCATTGCAAAAGGTGTGTGTTAGGCCCCAGCCTAATTAGCAGTGTAATTAGGTGATCGGGCGTGTGTGATCCAGGTTGATCAGTGGCACCTTACTGAGTCACCTGTACCAAATAGGAAGCACTTTTGGCAACCAGAAAGGCATCCAGTCCTTTTTTCCCCCTTCCAGACCTTCATTGTGCCCCAAGTGACTAATTTGGACCTGAGTGAGCAAGTCGCGGCTAGTTTGAAAACAATGTGGACTAGTAACCTGGCGCAGATGTATTGGGAAAGCTGAAGTACTCTTGACGGAACGATTGTGCGT